CTTCGCTCCATTGTGGAAGCATGAAAATACTTAGAGTTTTTGTCCCCTTCTCTGAGCCAGTTGTTTCTACTTTTTTGGTACCAGTTAGTCTCCTCAGCCTCATATGCTTTATGCAGTAGATCCTTTAGCTCTTCCCACCTTTGCTAATCTCTCTCTCCTCCTTCTTCCTTCATCAGATTCATTTCCTTAGTTAATCCCTCTATTTCTCTAGCTGAGTTTAAGATTTTATCCCTACTCCACTTATTCAGTTCCATCCTACATCTTTTAATCTTGGCTGCTACTTTATGCATTTGGGACCCATAGCATTATGTATTCCATGCATTTTTTTACCACATCCTGCACTTCATCTTTTTCCGGCCAACGTTTATCAAAGTAAAACCTACTCTTCTTTCTCAATCTCCCAGCCACAGTACCCAAAACCAACATACTATGATCCGAAGCGCCGATCCACATGTTGGACTATAGATTGATCATCTTCCATCAACCAGCTAATAGACCCAAAGAATCTGTCAAGCCTTTCCTCTATGAATTCATCCCCAGATCGATTATTCGACCATGTCCACATCCTCCCCTTAAACCTCATTTCCTCCATCCCCATTCCATTTATGAATTCTCTGAATCCTTCATATCTTCTTTTACCCCTCTCCCTTCTCCCTCTCTTTTCCCCTGCCTCTCTAATATCATTAAAGTCACCACCTACAAACCATTTCCTCCCTCACACCCTACTTTTTCTAATTAACTCATCCCATTGCTCCTTCCTTTTGTCAGCTTCTGTAATCGCATACACAAACACACCCCAGATCTTCTCCTTTGTTCCTGTTATCTCAAAATTCACTAAATGCATTTGATACTATTTCATGTATTATTACTTCTGAACTCCATTCCAAGACCATTCCCCCCCCCCTTCTGCCTTCTGGATCAACTACAAACCATCTATTACCGAAATCTAATTTCTTTCCCACTGTATCAAAAAACCCCCTTTTCCTTTTTGTTTCACACACAAATAACAACTCTGGTTTATAGAGCCTACACGACTCTTTCAGTTGTGAAACTGTAGAAGAGCTTCCCAACCCTCTACAGTTCCACGATATGACTCTCATTGGACACTTTGGGGCCAGTTAAGGTTGGCTTCCTCCACCTCAGCTTCTATCATCATGGTTTCCTTATCATACTCCTCCATCTGTTCCACTTCTCCCACCTTAGCTTTTTTCATGATACTCTGTTCTTCTTCTCTTTCTCCTCCTGTCTCTCCTCTCATCCTTTTCTCCCCGATTTCAGTACGAATCCCCTTCCCTTTCCCTTCCCCTCCCATTGGTTTTCTGGGAAATTGTCTTGCTTGTTTCTCCCACTGTCCCTTTGTAGTGCCTTTAGCCCCGTTTTCTTTTCTCAGAGATTGTTGACTGCCCATATTAATTATATCACCGAGAACTGTCCTACCTTCATCCCCTCCTCCTCTTTTGAGCTTCCAAATTCTTCATTAGAGTAAACAGAACCCATATTTTCATCACAATGCATATACATTGCTCCAGTATGCATCTCTCCTTCCCCCCCTCCATCCCCTGTATGCTTTGTTATCCCTCTATTCCTTACTGTGCTAGGCACCACCTCTGCCCTGCTCCTTATACCTCCATTCACAGTAGCCCCCTCACCAATTTCCTTATCATCCAAACCTAACTTTTCATCACTCTTCTCTACTGTATCACTTAGTAACCCCAGTTTACAGCCACTAGCTTCCCCCGTCTCATCCACACCCCTTTCCCACTTTTCCTCACCACTACCATTCTCCCTTTCTTTATCCTTCTTCCCTCCCCCATTTAATTTACCCTTTCATTTCCCTTCAATCCTAACCTTAATTGGAGAAATCGACGGAGTCTCTTTTGGTTCATCTTTCCAATACCCAGCCCGCAGCCATAATCCATATTCACCATCTTTCACACATCCATTTTCAATATCCTTCAATTGTTTCTCACAGTTTTTATCAGAATGTCCAATTTTACCACAATACACACAGGAATTTGGGAGTTGTTCATACCTGAATTCCACCCATATCTCCTTTCCATTGTACGCGGTCAATGTCCCTCTTTCCAGTGGCTTTCTGAGATCCAGATTTACAAGTGCTTTGATATGCATGTATTCAGATCCATTCGCCTCCGGCACCAGCACATCTTTGACATTCCCAATCGAATCGCCCAACACCCACCCAGTCTCTTTCGAGATCCAATGTGCTGGCATGTTCCAGATCTGGCACCACATCGGAGTGAAATTGAAACTCTATGCATCATAATCCATATTATCTTCCCATTTCTGTAAAACTAGGAATTGCCCATCAAAGCTCCAAGGCCTTTGACGCAGAACCCTATCTCTTTCTTTTGTCTTGGAGAAAACAAACTGCAAGGTATTTGGCTGGAGTTTTTCCACCTGCACTAACCCTCGTTGGCCCTAGGTTTTTTCCATGGCATTTTTAACACCAACGAAGTTTGCCTTCTTCTCTCCAAACACATTCCCCACCAAACTGCGATTGCCTACTTCCACCCCTTTTTTTGTTTCTTTTTCACCCAATTCCTTCCGACCTTTTTCATTGACTAACAAAGTGAATTTCTTGAATCTTTCCATTATTTCCTTCTCCATGGTTCTTACCACTATCACAAATTTTGACGAGTGCCGCACTGAGTTCCAACTAAAGGCAGCCAAGAGTCCTGCAATATTAAATTAAGTCTTGATAGGAATAAATGCGTGTTTGAAATGGGTTTTTAATAAGGCAAAGTTATGGGTTTTGAATACTCTGGAAATTTAATATTGGTTACACAGTAGAAAGTATGCAAAGTCAATTTTGAGACTATTATCAAGTGCACTATACGTATACTATCATGCCATCAATGATTGATTTTGAAAAGTTTTCAGAAGTATTTTGAAAAATTTTGAAAAGTTTTGAAATTTGAAACCAAAAATTGAAGAACCAATAACTCCCGCCTAGGGGAGGGCAATACTCTCACGAGGAAAGAGAAAATACTCTCACGAGGAGAGAGAAGTTGTTTTCACTTTTCACCCTTCTCGTGCGTGCATATTGTATACATCTAAAAGGGCGGAAGTTGTTTTTTAAAAAAGGACAAAATACACTTTTGGTCCCTAAACTATGGGGGTCACAACTTCTGGTCACTATTAATTTTTACTGACAAATTAGTCACTATCATTTCATTTATTCAACAATTTTAGTAAATTTAACGGTAAACTCTTTTCTCCGTTAATCTTTTTATTTTTATTAACTTTTTACTGAATTGTGACCCGTAATGTATTTTCAAACAACAAAATCAGTCCCCTAATATCTTTTTTTCTGCCACAATTTTTTTCATTTTTACACAATTACCAAACATTTACACAATTTGTATACATCTCACAGGTCTTTAATTTGATCAGAATTTTTTTTTAAAAAAAAACAAATTGAGAAAATAATGAAAGTATTTTCGACCAACTTCCTATACTTGCAATATACTGCTCCGGAACGTCTCACCATCACCTCCCCACCGACAAAGTGGCCCAGAAAAGGAGCCTCATTATTGATTGTTTTCGTTGTCGGGGTTTTTCGTTTTGGAATTTATTTCTGGGGAAGCAGAATATTTGGGGTTTAGGAAGTTGGCTTGAAATATTTTCATTATTCCTTTAATTTATTTTTTTTTTAAAAAAAACATTATGATCAAAGACCGATGAGACCCACAATCCATTAAGTAATCAATAAAAAAATAAAGTGACTAAAATTATATAAAAATTCTATTAGACCATTAAGTTTTTAAAAATTCTATTAAAGTGACTAAAATTGTTGAAAAAAATTAAGGGACTGATTTTATTATTTGAAAATAGATTGTGGGTCTCAGTTCGGTAAAAATTAATAAAAATTGAAAACTTAACGAAAAAAGAGTTGACAGTTGAAATTGTTGAATAAACGAAAAGATGGTGAATACTTTTGTCAAGAAAAAATTAATGGTGATTAGAAGTTGTGACCCCCATAATTTAGAGACCAAAAGTATGTTTTGTTCTTAAAATAATGATAATAAAAGAATAAGGAGGAGACTAGATTTGTTACTGCATAATAAGGGGAGGGGATTTTTCATTTTATTTTACCAGCTAAATTAATTTGATAGATCGAATCTATTATCGAGTGGGATTTTTCATTTTGTAAAATCTCACTTTTCGCAATTTGATACATTTTTTTTTGGGACAGTTAAATTGGGATGAGTACATCTGGCACTAACTAATTTAAGGAATAGCTCTTGGGTAAACCCCTTAAGTATTTCTTAATTTAGTTGGAACCTAAAAATTATGTGTTGCCTCTTTTCTTTAAAGGAAAGGGGGGAGGGGATTATCTGTTGAAAGAGAGTCTCATGATCCAAATATGAGATAACTACTACTACTCCCTCCGTCCCATAATTATTGTCCAATTTGAGTTTTTATTTCTAGTTTAAATTGCATTAAAAGTAAAATCTCAAACCGAACAATAATTATGAGACAGAGGGAGTCTTATTTTTCATTTTCAATAATTTTATAGATAGACACAAAGGATTTGCATATGAGTTAATAATAAACTTTATTTAATTAGTCCAATAATTATTCTATCGGGTGTAATCACAAACAGGTAAGATCGCGATCCAGTCAATGTTGATCTGTGAACTAGTTTTAAACATCTTCCTTGGGCCTTGCTCTGGATCCATTTCTAAACATCTTTCTTCGGCCTTGCTATGGGTATTTCTTGGGCTACCTTGGATTGTAAGTACCGTGGATTAGGCATTGAGCTAATTAAAAATTTTCTTCAAAATTTCTTTGTTGGTCATCACTGACTTGCATGTACCGTATTATTTCAAGTATTCTTTGTTCCAAAATATTATTTCGCTTGAATTTTTAATTTTAATAAAATTTATATTACAAATAAAAATGTAAACTAGACAATAATTTCAAAACAGAAAGATTATCATTATTGTGATGAAATTCATTTCTTAACATCGCGTATTTCCCTACACATATTTTTACTGGAGAATGATATTATGAGCTCTTCCCATTTTCCATGTCCACTTTGTTGCATTGATCGAGTATTTCTACCTTTAAAACAAAGCAGTGCGAGTTTTCAAGTTTCCATAACTCTCGAGTCTGAGAATTAAAATTGTAGAAGGTAATTACAGTAACTAACAACGAGAGAGGTGTTGATTTACAATCGCTAGAGATTAACCATAAATTCTGACATTTAATCTCCGTAACCAAATGGAATGGATTACCATATGAAACACATCATATGGTTTTGGTGGATCATTAATCAAAAAATGCCTTTGCACTTGCTTCACTCTCTCCTGCATTCTTCTATATCTATCTTCAGAGATTCCCATCAAAATACTCTTCAAATTGGGCAATTCACCAACGGATATTTCAATTGAGAACGAGCTCCAATCGAGAACATCACTAAATGGAAGAACATAATGCTGCGAAATCAAAACTGGAACACATTCAGCATATATTGCCTCCACAATTCTTGGACTAGCGACTTCATGTCCACTTGGACATAAACAATATTTGCTCTTTTGCATCATTTCATGATATGATATTTCATTTGGTAAATTTTCGTACACTTTTATGTCGTCGTCTTTGTTCATCCAGTGTTGGAAAAGTGATGGCCTAATTCGGCCATGCAAACCGCCCGCGAAGAATGCTAGGACTGTTCGATTTTCAGGTGGAAATCCTCCCGTCAGCCCAGAAATATTTCCGGTTTGGAGATTGATTTCCGGGAAGGAGACATCTTTTCTTGGATTGAAGAATTCAGAAGTGTTTGCATTACAAAGGGCTCGCATGGAGGTGAAGTATAACTTACGTACATACCATGTTGCACGAGGCCCCTGCGTACCAATAATTATGGGACGGGAGAGTATTAATTTTGAATAAAATAAATTAAATAAATTTAATTCCAAATTATTTAAAAAAAGCAAACAAACAAAGAAAAAACCTTGATTACCCAATCATGGCAAGAAACCATCAAATGATCAGATCCGAGGCTTCTATTCCAATAGGGATATTTGGTGGAAATGATACGAACATAATCCCCAATTACACGTTCAAGGACTGCCTTATCCCTAATGATGGGATCAAAAAGATACTGAATGATCATTACCACACTGAAAGGGAGCAAATATACATGAGCTTCATCTGGATTATCGGTTCGAAATTGTACACTTTTCTCCATTGAGCTTAACAAGATTCCTTCCAATGAGTATATATCATTGAATGGGCCATTGTGAAACAATGGAGGCTCCCCTTCTTCATATATGAATATTTTGAATAGCCTCTCCATCAAAAAGTAACTCCTGCATATATCAAATATAATATTTGCTTTAGTTTATATATGAAATGGGTTTGAAGTTTATGTGAAAATAAACACGGCTAAGGTATAGGCATAAGGATTATTGTATATCTGTACTTATTTAAACAGTCATAATTGAGGTCTAGAATACTGATATGAGCATATGATGCATAACTGTCACGCGTAGATTATTGATTCTAATGAGAAAATTCGTACTTCAATATGGCAATTTTGAGCATTTCATAAGTACCTATAAAATATACGAGGGTTTATGTAAATTTCTCCATGAGGAATGTAGTTTGAATCTTTCAGACTACTCTCTTGGTGGTATTCACCAGATAAAGTCTTTTGAATCAAAGCCCGAGCTCTAGCTAGACCAGATTCAATTTTCTCCATTTTTACATCCCTTTTTGTACCTCTTCTCCTCAAGCTTTCAGCGTTCAAATCTCTAGTTAGACCCTCCACCGCTTTCTGCATCTTGGGATTCTGCAACAAATCATTTTGGAGAAAAATCAGATAAAATTCAATTATGGAAAATTTCAATGTCCAAAAAAAAAAAAAAAAAAAAACTCCACACCATGTAAAAATTAAATAGTTATGTAGAAAATGTTTTTTTTTTTCTTTCATATCCTCTTGTAGGTAAACATGTTACATTGAATTTTGGATACAATGAAGATTTAGGGTTCGGCTCCAAAGAGGATACAAGGAATGATGAGGAAGTTGTTGATGAAGGATTAGGAATGGAGGATTTCCATGTCGATGTAGAATATGTAAGAGAAAATGAAGAGAAACTCTTGTAGCCATTTTTTGTCACACTCAAAAAAGCTACTGCAGCCAATAAGGTAGTTGTTAAAGAAACTAGATGAAAACATGAATATTTTGCTCTGGAAAACAGCCTCATCTCACTGATCAACTCTAATATAAAGAAATCTGGTGTGTTTAACTTACTTAGTGAAGTTCTGTTATTTAGAGTCAATTATTCTTGGCAGGTTGTTGGAACTTGACTAGGAATATGTCACAAATTTAGGTTTGGTTGCTATTTCTCGAGCCTTTAAGAAAGAAAAAGTCAAAAACATAAGTAAATTAATGTAATCTATTATCCTAAAATATAGTACTACTACTTATTCCCAGAATCGAATTAGAGTGGCATTCGAGTTAAAAGGAACGAAAGTTATTTTAGACTTTGTTCATATTGGTTTGCTGCACATTAAAACAGGATGCAACTTCCATTTGGAACAAATTTTTACTGTCATGTTACTCACAGGTTTATACATGGCTAAATTACTGGGATAATAGTCATACTCTTTAGGCCCCAAAATTATGTCTAATCTCGAATTTCACTTTTAGTAAATAATTGTACTAAAAATAAAAATTCAAACGGAACAATCTTCTTAATTAGTGAGTCACTTAAATTGCAAGAATGGTGTTTGTTGCATCACCAAATACTAAAAATTGTTAAATCCACGATCCTGAGCAGCAATAGTTGCCTCTCTCACAGCAAAATCTCTTGCAATTCCTCGATCTTGGATGTTCGAAAATTTGTTTGTGATGCCCAGAAACTCTTCGAGAGTCTAAACATGAGGTGCAGTATAGTTGGTAAGATACCTTCCCTGTCAAGGGTTCAAGTCACGTCGGGGGTAAATGGGAAATCAATATTGAAGACGTCTCAGGGAGTTCAAATGGATTAGATATGCAAGCATGGAGTTCCGATCCCCTATTAATAGAATTACCCCCTCCGCCATAGACCCCACCTATGTAATTGTTTAATCACTTATAAGGTGTTTTTTTTTTTATAAAAAAAATCAAATGAGTGGCTTTAAACATTAACGAGGAAAAAATAAAACACATTTATGTGTTTGCTTGGTGGGTTTTGGAATGGGGAATGGAATAATTTCAGTTTTTTATATCTGGTTGACGGGTTTTAAATTGATAGGAATGGATTGATAACCAATTATTTAGAATTCTTCTAAACTAACCAGAGGGGTTGGGTTTTGATTTGATTCAAGTTTTGGGAACTTTTGATTTGTTTTATTCTTTGTTTTCTCATGTTTATTATCATATCATAAAGATAATTTTTTTCTTAATTATAAACTCAATTTTGTTTTTTTTGAAAATTTTGAGTCAAATTTATTTTACGGACATCATTAAATGAAAAGTCAAATTGATCAACATATGATTCGAATTTAGATCTAGAATTCGTTTACTGCATTAAATTTGATACTAAAATAAGAGCTATTGGGACTCAATCAAAGTAATTTATTTTTTTCAAAAAAAAAACGTAATTTAAAGTATTCAAATTGATTCAATAAAATGATTTATTAACTTTTTTGAAAATAGTAGTTAAATTTTTGTGCCAGTAATAGAATAAATTAAATAAAAACAAATGATACCTAAAAACCAAACAATTGTTTTGGAATGGGTATACCGATAGTAAACCTTTCATGTTACCATACCTAACCCCATAGTGAAACCCATGAACAAACCAAACAACCCCTTATATACATTTTAGCTAAATTCATTTTATCATATGTAAATATTTCTTTTACAAGAGTTTACATATATCAAACAATCCGTGCAACGCATGGGGCAACCACTATTTGAAATATACAGTAATGGATTTCCAGAAAGCATATATACTTCCTCCGTCCCAAAATGATTGTACAGTTTGAGATTTTATTTTTTGTACAAATTATATTAAAAATAAAAATTCGAACAACCGATTTTAAAAGAGAGTAGTAAACAAAATGTTGGCAAGAAAAGGTGTCCGATCGTCACTGCTTTGGCCAACAATACATGCAAACTAGGGAAAAAAAATTCTTAAGAGAAGAGGATTTCAAGACAAATTGAGCATTTTGGCTCAACTGAAAAATCTCTTCGGACACATGTCACATGGATAGGAGGCCGTAAAAAAATATACTTTAACAAGTAGTTTTTTTTTTAAAATTTCAAGAATCAAGTATTTCAATTTAAAGATGAGATTTACGAAAATGAGAATAAATATAAGATATAATCTGAATCAACTAGAAACAACTATTTGAATTAGAAACTATATATTCTCTAACAAATTAGCCACATTTTCAAATATCAATAAGATGAATAGAGATTTGTATATATTTTTAGGTTGGATTATTTTTAGTTCAAAACTAATACATTTCATGCAACGGTAGGGTAAGAATTAGTACAACCTGAAGAAAACACGTTGGTAAAACTACAAGATGGAAGTTCTTGTTGAAAAGATAAATGGCTAAATTTTGGGCCAATTTATTTGAAATAATGGTTCCAGGTTAAAATCCTACGGAAGTAGCACCTAAAAGAACCAATGATTGACTACTAGCTCAGCCTAAAACCCTCATAGATGTGCAAGCTATGTAAGACTTAGAGACGAAGAAGATGGACATCGACTACCTTTGTGATAGGGAATTGATTCGAGAAAGAGCAAGCCGTGATCAAATTGATAAACAAGTCATTCACGTTGGAGATCAAACCGAAAGAGATGACAAAATCATGTAAATCAATCTGAAGAGTTCGAGCTAAGTGCAACTCAGCGAGAATGTTGTTGACAAGGAAGCTTTAGGAGAAGTCATTAGGTTCTTGAATGGATGACCTAACTGATAAGAGTTCATGGAATGGAGTCCATTGCTATACAACTCGAGATAGGGTTCGATCTTTGGTTGGTTCGTTTGCTGAGTAATCATTTTTGGGTCATTCGAGTGAGTCAAGTATAGAATGAACAAGTGTTAGTTTTATTCTATATAAGAATCACAAATATTGGACTGACAATAAAGTCATCTACAAGTGTAAAGGCACGTGTGCAAATATCTAGATGCATAGAGCCATGTTTGTTGAGATTTGCTAGAGAGATTTGACGAATCTCCTTTGATTTATTTTGATCCTATTCCTTCGTTAAAAAGAATAAGATTTGTGATATGATTTTCTAGGATAGAGATAGAGTGAAGAAAGAGATCTATTCCTCTATTGTGTACAATTATTTAATTTTCATATCTACCTGAAGTAAAAATATTACAAGCTTAAATATAAGATTTTCACATTATGTATACCCTATGTTCTTTATTCTTAAGAATCTAAAATGCAACTTAAATTTTTTTCTATTCAAATTCGTTCTTATTCCTTTTAATTCTTTTGTGGTAGGGATGGTTAATGTTTTTTCCAATTTAAAATACTCTTATATTCACTCCATCTCTGTGCATTCCGTGTTTTCAGAAATTTTCTCATATTTAAATGCTCCAAACTTTTCCATGGTGGGCAATTGTATTTATTTTGTTGCCTCTCGTGTATCTCTACTTATCGGCAAAGAGCGTTGGTTCCGACGGTTGATACAATCACAGAATGCATGTCTTTGACCAAGCACCATTCCGCCTTAGGGGTGTGGTTATGTGGAGCCACCACATTTCTTATCGAAGTATATTCCCCAATCGACGCCTCCACCCACTTTTATTCTTTTCCAAATCTTCGTCATCAGCAAACTTTCATCACCCCCCGATATTGGCCTTGCTTTCTAAACCATCATTTACAAAGAAAATGGAAATCCTTCAAAAAAAAAAAAAATTCTTCAATCATGTTCTTGAATAAAAGATTTCTTTTTTTTTTTTTTGTGGGCATTGTTAAAGACTTAGGAAGATTGTTTGGCATTGTGCAATTTTTGGTCAAAGAGTGTGCAATGACCTCTTTTTATTTTAATCACCTCAAATGTGAAATAGTAAATGCACATTTGTGCAGTTTGGTAATTGTTAAAATTCAACCAGTGACCGTACATTCTTTTTATGTTAGAAAAAATCGCGCCCGACCTTGATAACTAACTAGATATTGTATCATCATATTACTATTGGCGTTGAATCTGGATATTTGACATCTACTAATATTACTTAGTTCATAAAATATGTAGTACAAAACAAATTTTAATATCATATGGGACATACTAGAATTAAAGATAAAAGTGACTTGGGATCCAAACAAAAGGGTAAATAGGTCGATACATACCAACGTTTACATAGTGAATCCCATCCCAAAATTTTCAAATTGTTTAAATACATCCCATGTTTCTACAAGTTAGACGATTTCATCACCTGACAAAATAAACACATCAGTTGATTAGTAGTAACCTCCGAAAGTAGATGGAAACAGAAAATTGTATTTGCTGATGATATTAAAATTCCACAACATTCTTAATTGTTTTTCTTAAAACCAATACACTATTGGCTCTTTTTTCTCTTACCCGGCACCACTACTATCCTCGACCATTTACCATCCACCTCTTACCCATTTATTTTAATATATAACAACATTCGAACACATCCTCCTCCACAAAACCTTCCAGAGACCATAACCACTGCTCATCCCTCCATTATCAATCAATTTTCAATTCTATACCACTCGGTCAAGGATTATCTATGTTTAAGAGAAACCCACTGTAAAGGTTATAAAATATCGAAGATAGTTCAAAAAACAAAAGAAGAAGAAACTATAAGAATCAAACAAGATAATGGAGTAATTTAAAAATTGATAGCACTCCGGGATGGTCTCGCCGTTATATATTCTCCATTTGATAAACCAGAAGATAATATCGCAAATATCTTAAAAGTTTGGCACCAAAAGAACGTCGATTGTGTCGCACCATCTAGGGTTACTCATTCACTTACCTTCAAAAGAAACTATTATAACGAATTGTATGCATTTATTTAGTTTTAATGACTGCATATATTAAAAATATTACAACCTTAAACATAAGATTTTTCACAATACATATGTATTATTTTCTTTTATTCTTAAAAATCTACAATGCAACTTAATTAACTTACCTACACATTTATATATTTAAATTTGTTCTTAATCCTTGTAATGGTTTTTTCACTTAAAATCTTGTTGATAGTTTTCCAAACATTATTAAATTCAGTTTTA